TTTTTTTTTTTTTTGAAACAATCTGCAACAAAAACAATTGCTTTATTGAAATCGAAATTGAGCGTAGGCGAAAATAAAACGAAAGAAAAAAGAGCTAAATTAACTAAGTATTAAAAGTAAAAAAATGGATAATCTATTTTAAAATGTTATAATTATAATTGAATTTAAATATATTTATTAAATTCATCAAAATCATTATAAAATCTTAAAAAAAAATAATTTAATATAATTACAAATTTTTTCTCTTTTTTCTTTACATGATAATAAGCTAAAAAATACCATTGATACAAAAAAAAAAAAAAAAATATTTGAAAAAGTTTTCCTTTTTTTTCTTCGTTTACATAAAATTTAAAAAAAAAAAACAATAACATTGATTTATACATAAAAAACGATAAATTAAAATTTTTTGAAGAGATAGGAGAAGATAATAAAAATATACTGAACAAAGAGTATACTGCAAATGAGATAATTTCAAAAAATGTTGCACAGTTCAGTTTTCATCATTTTTTTTTCTGGGAATAATGGTATACTAATGAATTCAAAAATAATTTTTTTATGAGATTCAATTAGATAGAGTTTTACTTATTAACACAATTAATAAATATAGTATAAAATGATTACTAGTATTAATTGGGGTAATATTTCAAAAATAATCTTAAGATAATATCAATTTCATTCTCATACAGATGACAGCTTATATAATAATTTCATTTAATGTGAAAAAAAATATGCAAAAAAAAAAAAAAATCATTTTGTAGATCTGTCATCTTATTATAATTATTTTAGGGTAATAACTGAGAATGATTGATAAATTAGTGGATGATAAAATTGAATTCTCTTTTTTTAAATATTTATTGTTTAATTTTATTCTACTTTTCGTTTTTTCTTATTTATTTAAAAGAAAAAAAAAAACAAAAATGAATGGAAAGATTTACTAACAATTCAGCACTGTTACATTTTTACTACTATAATTTCATATTTTATGCTTAATGAGAGCTATTTTGAGTATGGCATGAAAAAAAGTTTAGTATAAATGAGTAAAAAGGTATAATTTGTATCTTTCTTTTGTTAATAAATAAGCAATTACTAATTACTACTGAAAATTATATATGTTTATGTGAATAGATTAGAGGGAAGATGATGACCAGTTCACAGGAATTCAATTCATTGATCGAAAAACTCAATTATATCATTGTCTTTTTTTTTCTAATATAACTTTCATCACATACGATGTTGTCACTTTGCTTTTATTTTTTCTATTTCATTTGAAAAAATTGTTATCAAATAGCATTAAATTAAAATTTGAGTGGTTTAAAATTTTGAATAATAGTTCAATAAAGAAAAATAAAGAGAATTGCAAAAGTAATTTTTCCTTTCTCATTAACATAATAACGTCATCCATTCAATTATACCTGTTCAAAGTTAATTTTCTTTTTTTTTTTTTTTTTAAAGTATAATAGAAGTTTTGCAGGAAGTTTACTAGCTAATTTAAAACATAAGTATGATTTAAATTTGCACAATACTTTATTACCAACGTTTTATTTTACATTCGCATCACTGTCCTAGGCCGGTTTGCTGTACCTTTTGGTACAAATCGGGAATCGTTATCCAGGACTAGTTGAATTTGTTTTAGTCGATTTAAAATATGAATTCAGAGACTGACTGATATTTCAAAAAATTCTGACTAATTTATAACTTGAATTTAGTTACTCAAAATTTAATTTCATTTACCCTAACAAAGGGAAGATATGATCCTTTACTGATAATTCGTTCCATTATAAGTTAAGATCGTTTCTAAATTTAAAAATTTCTTTTCCCATCATTTTTTGTAATAAAGCATAAAAGCAAATACATTTTCATCAGGAAATTATTAAAATGCTTAAAAAATGCACAGCTAAACATTTGAAATCATTAAGCAAAAGTATTTTAGATAAAAATTGAAGAAATGAGCAAATGTTAATGAGAGTAATTTGAAAATGTATGTATATGTTTCACCCTAACATCTAAATAAGAAAGAAAAGAAAGATGAAATTTTCAAAAAAAATGAAAACTTTATGACATGAATTTTATTTACTATGATATATGCAAAATTTTTTGAGGATGAAATCTTCAAAATTCACAAAAATGGAAACAGAGTTCAATAAGTTGGTGATAAAATATTTAGTAAATTCAATTTATTTAAGGAAAAAATTAATTAAAGAAAGTCCTATAAAAGCGAATAGATTGCTGTCGTTAGTGTCAACGATTTATCAATTTTTTAAAGTTATCAACCAATTACGCATTTGTAGTTGATAATTAAATATTTTAAAAGGAATACGAATTTTAAATTTTGAATTTATGCATGAATGTTGCAGGGGAAAATTATTGACATTTATCAAAAGAGTTTCCCTCGGTGAGGTAAAAGTACAACTTGTTATACACCTCATTATCACTTATCATCTGTATTGATAAACAGTCACCTAACGAGAACTGATATTTATTCATGATGTTAAGAACTGAGAATCGTTTATTCAATCATTTTTACAGTAATTTTTTTCGATTACTTTTAGTAATATGCAAATTTTTGCTCCTTATTATCGATCTATTGTTCTCTGATTCTTTTCAAAAGCCAATTCTATAGTCAAAGTGTTGAAACCAGCCAAAATCTGTGGTCAAAGTGTCAAAACTAACAAATGTTCCCTAAAACTTCACTAGCGTTAACATTATTTTGTTAATTATACTGTTAAACAATTGGTTTAATTATTGCTTTCATAAACGGTATAATTAATACCATTTATGGTGTACTTAGCATGTAGAGTTAAAGGACAGAAATAGAATAAATTATGGATATTACTTCCTCAAAAGGATACGCTATTCAATGACTAGCAGAAGAAAGGAAGGAGTTTAAATAAAGATGAAAAGTGTTTTGTGATCATCTAAGAATTATTTCATCAAACAACAGCTAAATTAAAAGAGCAAGCTAAAAGAAAAAGAAAATAATCTTTTAAAAACTTTAAATTCCCAGTTGAAATTTTTGAATTTTCAAAGAAAAAAGAGCAATGTAAAGTTTATAGTTCTCTCAACAAATTTCATTTTCATTTCTCGTGTTAATTAAACCAGAAACTTCCAACATGTTGAACATTCAACAGCAGTTGTAAAGGGTCATTAAAATTCTATAATTAAAATTATTTATAGATTAGAACGAAAAAAAAAAAGGAAAAAAAAACATTAATGCGACAAATGAGCATAGCAATTGCATTCGTTCGCTGTGGCAAATATTAGATTTTTGTCAAAACATTTTTGTTTATAATTGTAACAAATTAAAACTATTCTTATCCACTGAAATAAGAGAAATATTTTACAACTACTGAATTTTTCTTTCTGATTTTCTCTTAAGATTTCGGATTTAGATCTAATGGCAAATTCAATTGTGAACAATTCATTTGTTGCCCAACAGACGCGAATTGATTAGTAAGAATTTCATCTTAATTTTGAAATTCCAATTTTTATGTTAAGATTTGCAAAATTAAATTGAAAATAATTTCAAGCATGATTTTAGAAAAGCATATGAAATGATACAATTGCAACAATTTTCCAGGAAGAAGAAATGAAATAATATTTAACAAATTTTTCAATTTGTGTTTCACGATGCAACATTGGAACATTAAGCAACACCGTAAACCGTAAACTGGAAGCAACCGGATTTTATGAAGAAAAAAGCTTGTAACAGAGGAAATAAATAAATATCTCTGTTAGATTGAATAATATATAATACAAAAAAGTAATACAAAAAATCAGGAAGTAATTCAATCAGATAATTTCAGTATTCACTATCTAGCGATTTTAAGATAGAGGCGAAGAGATTACTCAGCTTTTTCCATAAAATGTCCATAGAGTTTCTGAATTTGAAAAATCTAGGTGCTCAACAAAATTTTTTGCGCAAGTCATTTCTGTTAAAATTTTGTTCAAAATTTTGCTTTAAATGAACCGTTCATATGTATCCCATTTAGGAAACTTCAGGCTAAAGGGATCACAAATCAAGTTGTGACAAGTCATTCGAAGGTCATCAACATGCCATGACCTGCAAATCTGTTTCACTTAGCAGGTACTTTTGTAGGTAGATGCACATGATAATGTGCCTAGCTGAACGTTGTCCACAATTAAAAGACACTAACTGCTAGTATGTAATATGTCACGATATACTCCATAATATTTTACACCTATCACTTTCCCTTTCCATCAAATATGTTCCACCAAATACTTCATAAATTTCATTGCAATTAATTTTAAGATTTTAATGTTATTAATTTTTAATGTTGCTAAATAAATTCTTTTTTTAGCATTTTAGAGGTTCTATTAGCAGCAAATTTCAGAACTGGATTTTGACCGATGTGTTTCGAATATAGCAATACAGTCATTTAATATGTCACCCACTGAAGATTCATTGTCCACTTTCCTTATCCCTGGACGATTATATACTGCTATTCTCCTGTATCAACATAAATTCAGCAAGAGTTGTATTTAAAGAATGCCTTCAAAATGATTAATGTGTACAGTAATTTTATCATTAAAATCAGAAAGTATTAAAATTCCAATAGAATATATGCAGTATTTCATAAACTAAATATTAAAACATATCAATATGAAACAAAAAAAAAAAAAAAACACTGATTCAAAAAGAAAACTTCACAGTAGACAATAAAATACATAGGGCATTTTTGGTAAATAACTTCCACTCCGTACATTCAATTTAGTGAGCATCAACAGAACTAGAGGTTTTTTTTTTTTCAAAAAAAATTATATTATGGATAGCTATAACTGTAAATGGTTTCAAAATTATTTAAGTTTCTATAGAGAGAGAGAGAGTTATTCTAAGGCGAAACATGATAAATTCATCCAAACTTATTTTTGTGCTCACATTTCACTACTCTCTAAAAAGATAGAAACACTAAGACGCATATGTATAAAAAAAAAATAAGTTGCATGAGAAAAATACTAAGTGGCGAACTGATTTACATGATTTATATGAGATTCAAATCTTTCCTCTCCCCTTCATCGAGATCATCCTTCACATCCTCTAATGTCATTTCTGAAAAGGATCATTTAATTTCTGAATTATCTAAAACGATTAATCCACATAATAATTTATGCGACTACTATATCTTCTTTTCAACAGTTAAATTGCTCACTTGATTATCAACAACATTTCAAATCTACTAAAAACTTACCACTACTTTGAACAATTTGTTCCAAAGTATCCATATGTGGTGGCGTATTCGACCCCACACCAACATAATGTATAGTCTGAGTTTGACCAGACCTTTCATCCATATAGACAATATTTACACCTGGATGAGTTTCCAGTGAACTGAAGAAATGCGAACTATTATTACCAGTTGGAAGCAGACTAATACCATTTGACGTTAAGATCGGTTGTGATGCAATAATTTCCACTGCCCCTGCTCCTATTGCATTCGTTTCATTGAATACAATATTCTCCATTACCTAACAAAAAAAAAAAATTGCAATCACTGAAATGATTAGATGCATTCTAATTTAAATTTTCTGTTTAACGAAACTATTTTAAATATTTATTACTATCTTTACATCATTAAAAAATTGCTTTGGCATAAGAAAAACGTTACAATCGTAATGTGGAGATTTTAGCATGAGTAGAAGTAACATTTGTGCTGTCAAACATGACCTTCATAAATTATCGAAAAAGGGTGAAAATATTTTCTACTGAAAACCTGTGTCATCACGTAAATGACTGGCTTATTGGAAGCTTTGGCAAGTCGTAATTCCACCAAATACAGCAAATATTCATCGAAAAGTAGACGGATAAGATGAAAAGAACCAAAAGACTGAGCAGAGCGAAGTGTGAGATCTCGTATTATCATGGAGCTAAAATTATAATCCCAACAAAAAATTTTGTCGGATTTGTACATTTCAATATGAACAAAATCATAAAAAATAAGAGGATCATCAATGAATTATGCATCAATGAACTTATGTGAACGAATGATTTACCTATAAAATGACCAATTCTTCAGAAACTGTTTCGAAACATCAGCCAAAACAGCATAGGCCTTATCATGGTATTTTGCTAGAACCTAAAATTCAAACTATAACGTATCAAGATATCAGTGAATAATTAAAGAGTGCTTGCAAATAGTTTAAATGCACAAGTTGATTTCCTTTTTTGACTTTAAGTCCAGCTTTCCTTTATTATATATTATTATCACCAATTTATCATGGTATTATATATCACCAGTTATTATTACCAACCTGATCAACAACAGCTTCCATCCACTCAGCCCATTGCTCCAAACTTTTTTGTTTTTGTAAATTTTCTCGAAAATCAGACTGAAGATTAGATACCAGTACTGGATCACAATCGCACACCCATCTAAAAATTTATAAAATTATTGGTAAAATATTATCAAAAATCATAAAAATCATGCCTGAACCAATCCTTAAATGTTGCAACATCAGTAACGAATAACTGACATTAGTTCTGACATCATTCTTAGCAATTTCCAAGATAACATCTCGAGTAGGCTTCGAATTAGCATCAGTTGAGGCCAGACACAAGATCCTAAATATGAAAAGAATCAAGCAATAATGACGGACGAACCCAGCCTGATCCTGAACACTGGCTATATCAACTCGATTAAAATCATGAAGCATCTGATGGATTTGATCCGGTTTTTGTAGGACTCCACGTGCAGCAGATGCTAGATGATTTAGGGAAGTATATCGCCTTAATGTTTGCGCCAGTGTACGTACAGCAATAAGTTTCTTCCTTTGAATAACATCTGGAGCTCCTTGCATTGCCTTCTTTAGTTGCATTTCCAATGATTTCGCAAAATTACGGATTTGTAAAGTTAGTGATCCTAGAAGTTTTTTTATTACAACCATTACAAAAAAAAAAAACCAAATTATTGTCTGCCCTCTTTTTTTCTTTTTTGTTCATCTTCCCGGAAAAGCATTGACATTAAAAGTACCGCATACGGTTCGTAATCATTCTATTTTTTATCCTCTAAAAAAAATGACCATAAAAATTTAAATTAAAGCCAAAGAACATTTTTGAAATCAATTGAAAAATCATAACAGCAAGAGACAACCTGACACGTTAGAGCTCAATACATCCGGAATCAAAACTTCCACAACTACTTGATAAAATGAAAAATCCATGTTCTGGACGAATGCCTGCATTTGAGGAACTGTACACAGACGAAATAGTTGAATTTGACTGAGGCCCTTCGGTGTTTTACTGAATAAATTCAAAGAATATAATCAATGTAAGCATTAAGAACAATATAAAAGAATTTGAACAGTATTTATTATCTCTTTTATGTTACTTTTAACAAGTCGCATGAAAAATTTCGACAAATCGGGATTCTTAACTGAACTACCCACTATAAGAAATTTTATACGCACTCATTACTAGAGCACTCTTCATCGTCCACATCTTCCTGATCATTTTCTGGCTGCCAAAAAGTTATCCAACACTCCTCTACCATATCAAAATGCAACTGTTTGACGCATTCCAAAATTTCCTTAAAAACCAGAAGTCATATTTAAATGATAATTTATCTAACCAATCTATATTCACGCATCTTGCTTGACAAACTTTTCATATTCAGTTCTAATTAATTTTATCATATGCAATCTTCTTACATGTTAGAATACACTAAAAAAATGGAAAAGACATCCAGAGAACTTAGAATAAATAACAGTTTGAAAATTTTCGGATGAAATTATGACAAAATTTCTCAACTTACAGCACAGTTTGTCGTGTAGCTTTCGATAAAACGCACTGCATGTTGTAAAGTTAACCCTAGCGGTTGCAAATAAGTTTCCAAGCCTTGCATATCAGGTATTCCGATATGCGGCACTTCACCGTCACCAAGAACTTCTCTGTCCATATCTGAAACAAAATTCACTTTTACAAACACTCACTAAATTTTAAAAGTACGATTTCGAGGAAATCTTGTCGATTTGAATCAAAAAGTTTCAGAGTTTTCGAAACATCGGTTTCAGAACAACCTGTGCAGTTATCTCCGCCCATCGAAGAATTAGCATTCTGATTTCGATATGAACTGAAAGTACCATGATCCGATGATATGCTGTGTTCATATGTGGAAGGTGGACTACTGAAAACAAAAACAGGAAATCCAAAAACAAAAAAACAAAAAGTATTAAGAAAACTAGAAAAACCTTGTACATTTTACTTGTAAGTCACTCATTCAACCTTTTGATTGATTCAAAATACTTAAAATCAATAATCCAGAAGAGAAACTTACGATCTGGAATTTGTAGCTTGGCTAAGCATTGTGTCTGTTTCCATCGCAATAGAACTGGTTCGTCGAGTAGTTACTGAATTTGACCCCAAAGCGGAACGCCGAGATGAGCTACAAATAATGAGGAAGTGCGTGCTATATGGAGGAAAACATATAATTCCAAAAGATTATTTAAAAAAATCAGCAACATTTTCAAAAATCATTTTAAAAAATTTTCATTCCTTGTATTTAAAATATTTAAAACATTTTCGATATAAAAAATAATGAAATTTTTGCTCAATTTAAGTTTTCTCCCATATTTTTCACTTCCCGTTTACCACTCATTTACTCTGTCATCAAATTCCAACATCAGCAACATTTTCAAAAATCATTAATTTCATTTCCACGGCTATGGATTCAAAAGAATTTGCTTGCAAATACAAGAAGAAAAAATTTAATACAAAATGCGAAATAAAAACCTTTCTTGAAAAAAAAAAAAATCTCTTATCAAAGGTAACAGTATTTCAAACTTCTATATTTCGGCTAGTGTTTAGTACTTATAATGACATGTGGAGAAATAAAACCACTAGCTATCTGCCAGTTTCTTATATTTCTTAGCTCTTTAAATCGGAATTTTCAACGCTTCGTAAAATATTTTGTTATATTTTCGAATTAAATTCATGAAGAGAATTTTTTTTGCTATACCTTCTTGGTGGTATCTGATTTACAGACTGCACTGAGGATATTAATGATGTCCGATTATCTTCACCTAATGCCATCGCACCATTAGCACCTCGATTTAGCGGAGAATCAGGTTTAATCCGAATCCCGTAATAGTGATACTTCGAGTTACCGCGTGTACCAAGCCGGCGCGTACGTAAACCGTGAAATACTGACCGGATAAGCTTGCCGAATGAAGCTGCATTTACCGGTTCGAGCTTATTTTCATTGCAATGCCTAAAGCAATAATTTTACATTTACATTTGCTCTATCTTGTTATGAAAACCAAATTATTCAACGCTTAATAAATATAGATAATTAGTCACTTAATATCAATGTAATAATGACTGTAGGAAGTAATTCATAATTCAGTATATCTGCTAAGAATCCAATTGAGCCATTTCTGAATTTATCTTTTACAGTTAATATTGATCATAAAGAAATTGAGATTTGAGCGTAAAGCATCTATTACTATGGATATGACATGCTTCTCCTTCAGAAACAGTATTGAAATAAAATATGTGCTAGTCACGTTCCCTTATCAAAATTTTTCTTAACTTTAAAGTCGAATTTATTATGTGGTTTTATGTATTATAGACATTTTTTTTTGTTCTAAAAAAAATCGATGTTAAAATCTGATATTTCGCAAACACTTGAAATAATGACTGGAAAATGTAAATTTAAATAATTGTAAACAGTTTACTCAAATATATCCTGTCATATATTAATATTATTTTCGCTAAATATTACAAATATATATATATATCAAGTTAGTTCAGTAACTTACTTAATATAATGACTGTAAAGCGTACAACGAGGAAGAGAGGTACCGTCAGCTGGTTCATAATTATTTATTAGCCACTGGATCTGTAAAATAGTTAAACATTCTTCACTGTTCACCATAATTATTGATGAAGCAAAAACTAACATGTTCTCAGCCCTTTTTTTCAAACAGAAATATGAGTTTATTTTTAATTGAATAAACAATAAAAAGATTGCGCTAATATTTATCGGCAAAACACATTTTTTTTTCTTTTTTTTTAAAAAAAAGAGAAGCACTAAGTTCTAAATGAAAGCAATGTCGCAAAAACTGTATTCATTAGAGTTGAATGATTTTTTTGACTTCAATTACATCTTTGTCTTATTTTCCCTGCTGCAGGTGAATCTATTTTCGAACAGCCAGATATTATGGCTTAGTTCGAATTAAGCTTAAGAGATTTATGTTTTTTTTTTTTCTTGACCTCAATTTATTGACCTCATTTGATTGACACATGCAATATGAACTGTTCCATTAATAACCAATGATTTTGTTGCTTGCTCGATTCTCACATTAGCCACGCCCTATGCCTGTCCAACTACTGGCTCTCATCAAATGCAGTTAATTATTTAAATAGCTGAATTGAAAGTACGGTACTTTCAACAATCATTGTAATTTAATCATTTCTCATCGTCTGCCTAATTAACGATTACCCTTTAACTACTGCTCCTCTCTAATCATCACTTCATGCACTTGCCCAACCTTTTTTCATATTGCATGTTACAGAGTCATTAATGTAATTGCTACCCGTCCAGCTTAATCATTCCCTTATTTACCCATTAATCACTACCGCTGTTATAACTTCTCATCAATTTACCCAGTTTTCACAAACCGAAAAATTTTCTGCTTTATAAACTGAAATTGCTGTACATGTTATTTTGAGTATACAAACAGTGTGATAGTTACTGAGATTACTTATCATATGGAAAGCATAATTTTGTAGCACACCTAGATGTTTTACTGAATTTACCATTTTATTTCAAGGACAATGGTTAAATTTGAACAATCGATTGCAAAGCAAACATTATGCAGCATAGTTTTTCGGGATTTTATAGCAAAATTTCAGGAAGATTTAAAGTTTTCTTAACAAGAGAATATTCAAGTTTGTATGATTAATTTAAAATGAATAATTCAAAGAGTGTCCAGTTATGACTGTAGGATAGTCCGTAAGACAGTCAAAGTTATAAATCGGCGAAATTGAATTTTTGTAGAAATATTTTAAAAAAATATACTAAAACGCGAAAAATAAGACAGTAAAAAGAAAAAGAAAAAAAATGTGTCAATCATGTAAATTAAAAGAAATATTCCATAAATCATTCTTTGTCATAATTCGGATCAGAATTAAATATTTGTAGATTAGTTTTAAAACCATTTTTGGAATTAAGCAAGTCTAGTTTTCAGCCATTCTCAAGATGAAACAATACAAACACACATCGTCCAAAAAAATGATTATAAACAAACTAACAGTAGCAGGTGAAGCACGTGTTGTATGACCCAACTGAGCTCCAACATCCTCCTCTACAGATCCTGGTGAACCCTGCTGCTGAATAACGTAAGTTTGTTGTGTTGGTGAATGTATCGGTTGGTACTAAAAAATGAAAATAATACAATTTATAAGAAAACTAATAAAAAAAAAAGAAAAATCAACAATTACCAATGTCGATTATCACCCAATCAGCCAGCAGTTTTTTTTTTTTTTTTTTTTTTTTTGAGAATTTTAGACTCATATTTGCTTATCTACTATTATTATCAAACACAGATTAATTTAGTCAAAAGAGAAATACTGTAATCTAACTCATATTGTATTCTCAGTTCACAAACTGCAAAAAGAGTAGAATTAATCTGGATTGCAAAACAAAATTTCTATAAGGAGAGTTATATTCTCAGTAGCCTGCCCCCGTAATCGTAAAAACACGAAGTTAAATTCGTTAACCGAATATGGTTATCATAAATCACTATTAAATGGTATTTATATTAACACCCTTTTGTGGTGAGTGAGTACTTATATATGATGAAAATAACGAATTAGAATTGAAAATGATCAGATTGGCAAAAATAACTAGATTCAATATGTGATAATGTCAAAAAATAATGGAATGTCAAAAATTCGAACAAAAAAAATAAGAAAAAAAAACAACAAACCTGATAATACGGTGGATATTCGGTAGTATAAACATAAGTAGCATTCCTGCAAAGTACCATTTCTTGGGAATAAAACAAAACAATGTAAGGAAAGTTTACAGCAGGAAAATGATCCAAACAGTATAGCTTGAAACAATGAGATAGAGGAAGAAGAGTGTTGTAGCAGCAACCGACGGGCAAAATTATATCACGACAATGCTGTTGGGAAAAATGAGGAGTGACAGGAAAAGCAAAGGTTTCAAGCTTTCCATATATTATATTATATTAAAGCTTTTTGGAACCTACCTTCTCGTCTATCCCGATTATTATCCCTCCTCCCAAATAATTCTTCCTCACTTTTCATTCTCCTTCCGGTACTGAAAAGGAAATGCCCAATGGGATTTGGCTGGGAGTATAAGGAATGATTATGTACACTATGTTATATATTATGCTTAAAGTGCTTTATGCATATATACCAATCATCCGCTCTTCTGCACCTTTCCATGAGTGCTTCCGGAAACGATATATTTTATCCGGAATATCCCTGTCTTACATATTCTATATGTAGCAACACAGAAAGGAAGTTTACATACTATATGAGAAAGATATCTAACTATAATATTAAAATAAAAAAATATATATAATACTAGTATCATATTATGCAAATTATTTTAGAGAAACTAGAAAAAAAGAATGCACAGCGCAAATTACTTATTACTTAATGAAAATGTATAAGTTACCTTAAAATATAAGGTATATCCCAGAAAAGACTTTGAACCTGAATTATATAATGAATCAACCATAATATTACGAAGCAAGATATGCCATATATTTATTTCTTCCTCCTTTCCTTCTTTGCATTTCTATACACCGTTACAGTATGTAAATTAAATATGCAGGTCATAACCTGCATTGCTTTGGTTATATAAAAATTGACTTTAAACTATCCGAAAATTTAAATCTAAATCCATACCACACTTAATAACTTCAGATATAATTAGAAAGAAAGAAATGTTATTACTAAGATATTGAAAAATAACTGCTATATACTGAACTTCCCAAAATTTCCGTGAGTTCAACTCATGAAAGAAATATTTCCTTCACATCTCTCTTTACTGAAATCAATGGGAAAAAGATCAATCGTGAAGTAGAAAATAAATCACAAACAGATGAAATATCTATATAAGACACGAAAACTACAGTCTCAATCTGATCCCATACACGTAGAAATATTATAATGCAAATTTCTCAAAAATTTTATCAAATTTTAAGAGACATAGACTTCAATAGACCTAAGACAAACAAAAAAAGAATTTAAAATCAAATACCTGTCTAGATGTCCAGCTGGACTTCCTTTCGTCATCGACTTTATGAGCAAAACCTTGGGATGTAAATGTGAAAAGGGTCCCTTTAGAGGAGAGAATGAAGCATGCAGGTGAACTCGTTTGGCCTTTAAGAGGCAAGATATATAAGCAAGGGAAGCGAGGAAGCCATGAGGTGAGGTACATTATAATGATCATAATGATGACTGCTGGCTCAGTACGCGGCTAATCATTCACTCACACCTGCTCTAATAACATTTCCCTTCTAACTACGAATATTTCTTTGAAATTCCGCATTTTCGATGGAGTCCATTTCCTCGCATTACAGCCTATCCTAAAAATGGATCTTATCTGTTAGTACAGAGAGAAAAATTTTAGTCTTTATCTCAAATTGAAAAAAAAAAAAAAAGAGTTCGACGAAATTATGAAAACCAATTTTAAAATTTGTCCAAGAGAATATGAAACTATCAAGCAGCTTTATTTGAAGGAGAAATCTTGGCAGGCAAATAATTATTAATTGTAAGTCTAATTTTATTAAGAACTAATAAGGAATAAATGAAAGAATGAGCAAATCATTTTATGTTTTTTTTTTTACATTTTTTTTTATGTAACTTAAAAAATATATATATAAACATTTTACTATTTGCATTTTTTAAATTCAAAGTGGAAAGTGGGAATAAATGATTATAGATGGTATTAGTCCAAGATATACTAGCAAAACATTTGAAGAAAAAAGGAAAAATTGAAGAATAAGATCCAATGTCACCTGAATTAAAGAATGAAACCAACTAATGCTGTCAGGTACTTACCAACTAATATTTATTTATAACATGAAAATATTTCACTGATTAAATGTTTGGTTACCAAGGTATCATATGCATACAAAATACCTGACAACAGTAGTTAGGGGAATAAAGTTAGAAGAGAGCGGGTAAGCAAAGGAGGAAGCCCTAAGACAGAATTGACGCAAACTCACAAGATAAAAGAAGTGTACATCAAATTCTTTTTATACTTTATGTATCCAACATCTTGGCGGTATATATATATACTTTATATATAAAGTAATGCAGAGCGATGATGACAACCATAACGATGAATTGTCGTCTCCTAGACGACCCATCATAGAAACGAAAAAGACAAATATGTAACTACTTCCAAAAAATCTGAAGAAACAAGAAGCTTATGTGAAATTACCATCATCTTCTTTCTCTCTTCTCTCTACCACGCTTTACCTATTCCTCTTTTCCAGTCAAAAATAGTTCGCATATTTTTCTCCCGATAATTCAAAATTTTGGCAAATTAGAGTTAATGAAATGAAGGCACTAACTAATAATTCTTACCAATTTTTTCAAAATTAAAATTATTAATTCCTATCGATAAAACATAACCATTTTACCCATCAGATCATCAGTAGTAGATTTCCATATAATTTCATGTAATAAGGATTACTAAAATCAACTGAAAATGCTTGTAAGTGCACTGCATGTTGAAATATGCCCATATACGGTCAGTTTACTATCAATTCAATTCAAGGATATGCTACTCTCCAAAAAAACGAAAAAAAAAGAAATCTTTTAAAGGTAATACAATATCTTTAGATTTTTCTCTCGCTGACAGAAGCATAGCAAAAACTTTAAGCATCAATCAAGCATCTCCGGTTAAAAATTCTTCTACTATTCCTTAATACTATAGTTTCATAACTTATTGTTTGCGCTTTTCTTCAATCTTTGTGGTATCAAGAATGCAATTTATAACATCTTTCTAATAAACTATTTTTACCTACCACCTTAAATTGAACGAAATTGAAATCATGCGTCATTACTAAATTTATTACTATATTTAAGATCAAGAATTATTTGGGCTACTTTTAGTAAACTCAGAAATTGGTTCCTTTTTGGATAACGGAAATTTAGCAACAACCGACTGAGAGTAATAAGAAGAGAAGAGAATTCTTTAGAGAGAAATATTTTTACGGCTGCTTGCCTATCTTTAATCTTAACCGGATACCATATTGCTGCTATCGCTGTTGCCGCTGCTTCCTTGGTTACCGAAAATTTTTGGTAAAAGCTTCAAAGGCTTTACTTTAAGGCTCGACACATTGAGAGATAAACATGAGCATATAGATACACATATTCGTGTCTCATAAATCACCTCGTAATGATCAAATAAGGAGCAAGAAGAGATGTGAGGCAAGTGTAGTACTTTTATTAATATGCATATGCACAAATATAGAGACTACCAAAAGACCAGCTTTCCAGCAAAAATAAGGAATGTTCTCCTTGTGATGCCTTTAGCATGCAAAGCTCCATCAGCTAAGGGTTCCACTAAAAAATTAAAAAGACTTTTTCTTTTCCCTACAATCAAGAGTTATCGCTGTTCGCTGTCACTACCTATTTTTTCCCTTCCTCCAGTTGTCATCTGTTTGCAGTCCTCTTAGGAAATCAACATTGTTGTCACTGTTGTCAAAAGAGTTCCATTATCAGCAACCTCGATAACATTACAGGATGCATGCTTCGTTAAAGCTTAAAGCTTAAGCCTCCCACACTCCGTTGCCTTAGCTTCGGTCGTCATCCTTGTTTCTAGGTGGATACATTTCCAGTTGCTAAACAACAACCATCACAACCAATCATCTCAACCGATCAAGCCTAACCTTGGAACGCTATTTCTATCAATGTCACTATTGACAACGGTTACCACCACTATCACCATCACGGTCATCTCTAATATTTTAGCATTATTTCTTATCTTATGGATCACATTCAAAAATTTTCAAAGGATATTAAAAAAAAATTGAAGTATTAACAACTCCACAATCTTTTTTTTATTCGCTCTTTCCTCTTATCTTCTTGCAAAATTAAGAAACAACTAAAAAATCCTAAAATTAAACCTTCCTATATTTCATTTAGAGGAATAGGTCATAAAAGTAACTAGTTGATGCAATTATTACAAACCCTTGTGATATCATTATAAGAAAAACTTTAGCGATAATTAGCAATATTTAATAATGGCCTTAAACGGTTCAATTACATATAAATATTACTACATCCTACGAATTACATATATTATCAAATAAAAAAAATTAGTTTTTCCTCATTGAAATGTATCAATATTTCTTAATGATTTAAAAGAAAAATGCAAAATGAAAGCCAATGATTGAAATTCTAGACGTGGTAACTATCAACTATGTACCAGTGATACTTTCTATAATGTCTAATACCAGTAGTAGAGTTCGTATTTACTGTTTTCGTTTCGGAAAAATTACATTTAAATTTTTACAGGAAAAAATCAAGCGGTCTACAAAGATATATCAATGTGAGATCTCTAGATGGTATGTTAAATTTCAAGCTTCTTATTTATTTTATCTCTTTATTTTTGACTCATTTCCAGTACAAAAGAAATCTAAACAAAAAAGTCCAAACTTAGTATTAGGTCATGTGGATAGCTTATCGAAAACAATGACCTCTTCTCTCGCATCATTCCTCTCTCACATTTCATCGCATTCCAGTCCTCTTACTAATCCAGCAATAAAAACAATATTGCTTCCCTAATTCCTTAATTACAGCTCTTAACATTACTCGACTATTAATTATGCTCAAATTTTGTTAAGTGAATTTCAACATTAAATAACGAGAATATAAATTTGCAACAGGCTTGATATTTAGATAGATTATTAGATCTAATTGACAGATAGAAATTACGAGCAGTTTTTTTTTTAAATGTATTGTGAATAAAAATCCCCATATGTTATAAGATTTTAAATGAATATAAGAAATGAGAAGGATGAGAGTGGAGAGAAAAGAGATTGTAGTAAAGGAAGAGAGAAAATAAGACTTAAAGGAGATTTTTTGTGTATCAGAGAGATGGAGAGAGCCGTGTATCAGAGAGACATAAACATCCTGAAAAACTTCCAGAATTTAGAGCTATGCTTTGTAATGTTAGATTAAGCAAGAGATGGGTACAATTTCTAAAAGTTGAATTTTTGCCCTTCACTTGCTGTTACAATACTCCTCACAACACTATAAGTCATCCATCTCGTATTATAATGGTCAGTCATATATGGTGGTGCAACACAACTACAACACATTAGTGCTTCGGTGCATTGATATCGTAACAACTTAGTACGTTGATGTAACTTGTCCTATTGGATAGGCATCCATCAGACTTAATTGCTGTGACTCGTCACTACCACTGATATCACTTGACCGAACTACCACCGTCTCCACGGTACCCTCTGCTTCACTTGTTAAAAAGCCAACTTCCGTTGCTGCAGCTACAGTAGTTGGTCTAAGTGTGGTTGTTGTTGCTGCTGCTGTTGCGGGTATAGTTAAATTGTTACTGCTAGTAACATACGTTACTTCATCACCCAATGGTTGATGATGATGATGACTGGTGCTGGTACTACTAGTGGTTCCTGATTGACCAAAACCATCAACAGTGGTGCCGTTACTTGTATCAACAATTACGGTATCGCTTGATGGTGGACCTCTTGCTTCTGTGAGCGTTGATGCTGAACGAAAATCTGACACTGAAACAACCATCGCTTTTAATTAACAGTCGCAACAAACTATTGGGAAATCAAAATAAAACAACTGCCTCAACGTAAGAAAAGTTTTACCCTTACTAAGGAAATCAAGTAATCTTCAAACTTTCCCTCTCAATTCAAATTTATTAAATTCCAATTTTTATGACAAAAATAAGAAACTTAAATTTTTTACGAATGTCAGACAAGCACACAAATAGTACGAGAACTATAGTAATTTTTGAATTTGTAATGTCATTTCTAATTTGATTTACAAATTGAATCCTACAATGTTCTCTTAATTCTCTTTCTCGACTAAACGAAGTTTGAGAAAAAATTTTCACAAATGCTTTTCTTCTAGGATGACAATCAATAAGATAACTTTGATATGTGATTAATTAATTGTATTGCATATATTTTACAATATTTAAAATACAAAAAACTATTCATTACTAAAGAAGTTGGAATGTTGAAGTTAGAGGATTATCGTTAGCAAAGTGGCAAATCGATAAGCTTTTTCTCAGTTAAAATAACAAACCTTTTCTACTTAGGCTTTTATACTAATTAGGTTTTCTCTATGAAATCTTTCTGTGAAATCTATCTGTTCCCACTAAGTTCTACTTTTACAGTCAGAAAAAAATCTATTAAGTCTCTCACCAGTTTCTTAAAGTGCATACCTGACAAAAGAAAAAATAATGAAAGTTTGGTAGCGAATGTGAAAGAAGATAACTTGATTCTCCGCCCAAAACCTTTACTTATAGTTCACAAGAAGAGCAGGTTTTAAGGTTGTTTGTTTTTAAAAGATTAATTATGTACTGCTAGGACTACAATCGGTTTCTATATATCACTATACATCCAAATCTAATTATCGTATAACACATACAATAAGGTAGAATTATACACGATAAAATTATTTTAAGCTAACGATCATGTAGGTAAATTAAAAAATGTACATGAACAACGGTAGGTTAAACATTAAATTCAACGCCATTTTTTAATATTTCTGACTGAGGACAAATTAGACAAATTAAATAAGTGAAAAAATTTTCAAAATTAAAGATGTAAAAAAAAAAAAAAAAAAAAAAAAAAAAAAAACTAAAGGAATGTTACAGATAAAGTTATTAAAAACTAAAGTGATAACAGCGAAAGTAACTGTGATAAGAAAGGATGGAAATATTTATAATTTTAGTAAAAACTCAACTTCAATCACGAGTAGCTTTTTTTTTCATGGTATCATTAATATTATATTAACAATTTTAAAAAATCAATGAGTTTCTTTCAGTCAAATTATCAAGTACAAATAATATTAAAGTACGTGGAACAACTATAAGACGTAAATAAATAGGTCAATAAAACTAAGCAACGTTAGACTAATCAAGTGAGAGAGAGGATTCCAATCCCAGTTCGTAAATTATAAATAACATAGCAGAATAGAAATTAGATCTTAGAAACTAGAAATTTCTACTTATTTAACATCATTTTTTGACTCTGTGATAAAGACTGATAATTTAATTCGATCAAATTTAGATCTCACCTCACTTTTTCCGCACTACAACATTTTGCAAATTTATTTTTGCGACTTAAATTGTCGGAATAATATATGGTAACACAATTCTGGATTTTGAAAATTCCTATTCTCATTGAATTTCTAATTTTAATAAATGCAAGTAAACATGCTCATTAAGTTTATTATTTCTTGAAAAATAAATAATGCTCATATTAGGAAACTATGCAGATAAATTGATAAGATCGAAAATAGCTATATTCCTATCACAAAATAGACTTTCATTCATAACCTAAACAATTGGGCACATATTTTCATGTTTACGATTGAAAAAAAAAAAAATCGTCATATGGTATTCCTAAGATGTCAACTTATTTCAACTCCATCAACCAATCAAATAGGTTGAAAATATTTTGTGACATTAACTTCCTCCACCTTCCATCTCTATCATCTCTTCCTCTCCTAATTATGATTTCAGCTCGTCCCTAAATCCAAATTCAAATCATCCATAAACGTAGAATTAATTGGAGAAGGCAACATACATCACAGCACTATTAGCACCATATTTAACCTATAAACATATATGCTAACTATATACAACAAACACATACACACATACACACACATATGCATAGTAACTTCTGAACTAATAGGCTCTATCGGTGTCAGATTAACCACTTTACTCGATCATGCTAATAAACTTTCTCCATCTACCAGTCATACCACCATCACATAAAGCATTTTAATTGCTTCGTGTGTACTTCAGCATAGATATACATACAAAAACAGACACACATACATACACACATACATATATACACATACATATTCACAAAGTCATACACGTATATGGATGATATAGACATTAATATTAACTGCAGGATATCACCAACAACCTCAATAAATCCCACTAAATGAGTTATTTAGAAACGAACATAAGTCATACTTGAATTTTATTTATCCATTTAAAATGACCGAAAATAATAATCTGGAACTACTGCAATGAACTTTAACCATTCTCTTTCATCATCATGAGTTTTTCAATATCAAGATTTTTACTTACATCTTTTATGATTCAAGATTACAAGAGTTATAAGATAATAGATCTAGCAAGTTCAAGTAAAATACACAAAAACTTTGAATTATCAATTTAATTCATCTTAAAGAGAATAGGTCCTAATACTTCTGTACTTCTGCAGACTACCATATCCATACATTTATTATGAAATTCTAAATTAGTTCAAACTTGTTGGAATTCATAAATATTCTAAGGATAACCTAAAACATATATTTCAGAAATTATATCCAGAAAACCATAATGCAGAAGTTCTACCATACTTTCATTTATCACATCCTAAGCATCCTTCATTTTGATCTTTTTTTTTTTTTTTTCTGATTTTTAAATGATAGAAAATGTAGGAAATAATTTTTGGAAGAGATGAGAAATGGTTCAAAACCTCTCGAACTATTCGTAAAATTTCTACTTTTTAATTATAAAAATACCGTATTTCTCAACAACAATATCAATAAGAAATAGGAATCATGAAAAGCCGTAATGAAAAGACCGCGAGACAATTTGAATGATAATAAAACTTGATCTTAGACAACTAATCTTTCCCCATTTGGAATATAATCTGAAATTTTTAAGACATTTCAATTAGACTAACTAAATGATGTATTTCAGAATTGACCTCCAAATACATACGATTCAGTAAGAATATTCCATAGCTTACAACTTAAAATTAAGAAAATAAATTAAACTTCAAATGTGCAGCAACAGACGAATAAAAAAAAAGTCTAAAGATGAAAACCAAAAAAGAAAAAAGAAAAAGAAAAAAGAGAAGAAAATGTATTGTTAGTTTTACCAAAACAGAAAAAAATCTCATCTAGCATTTATAAGCCATAAAGACAACCATTTTTATTATTCATGTTAGCCAAGCTTTAGATAAATAGTAAGCTAGCTTGATCAGTGAATGTACTTTTAAGCTTTAGCCTTTAGGCATTAACCAATGGTATACGATGGTAGCAGTTGCAGTGACTGTGAACCAACAAATGAATGAATGAATGAATGAATGAAAATATTGCAAAATCAATTTAAGCCTAAGCAGGGAAGTAAGCAGTATATACAGAAAAGTGGAAAAGAGTGATGAAGAGGAGATATTAGCGGAGCACTTCCGAATAGCACAAATACTAAGGGATATATCTCTTGTCTACGGTATATTTGAAAGCCTATACATACATACATACTTTGATGACATTCACCCTCTTTCTATCTTACTCACCTTTTCACCTCTTTCATTAATTTCTTTTTTATTTCTCTCTTACCTGAAAGGATATTGCACATGATGTCGGCAATAATTAATAACACATAACCAATTCATAAATCGATTTATTCTAATTTTATAATTTAATGTGATCATTGCAGTATTATCAAATAAGAGTCAAACAAAACTAAAAACTAACCAATATTCTTTTCTACCATTTCTTAAAATTATCGAAAACATACCTCATATCCGAAAACGTATAAGTAAGTGCTGATATAAATCTATTTCAAATAAAACTCTCGAGGACTTTAAATCCTACTTCTACTAGTTACCATTGCACATAACATTATTTTTTAAAGAAATTAACGAGAGGAAAAAAGATTTCGTGATTATAAAATAACCGCTTTCTTCGCCTTCTTCAAAGAGTCAATGCAGACAAAGGAAAAAAAAAATACTTCAATAATTAGAAGGGTGAGAAAAAAAAAAAACCATAATCAGTTATATTTTTCCACAAAGGAAAAGGAGAAAAGAAAAAAAAAAAGAGCAATTTGCTATCACTTCATTTCATTTCCATAAGAAAAATCATGAAATTTGAAAGGCCAAATATTTTTTTTCTATCTCACTATTTGTAATTTGATGAAAACAAGAATTAAACACTTTTTTTTTTTCTCACTTCAAGTTAACCTTTCTTTATTACTAACATTATAGCATGGCTTATGATGTCTTTATCAGAGATAAAGATTATTTACTCCTAAGCTTAAAGACAATTTATTTTGCTCCTAGTCAACAAAACAATTGTCTATATTGATCATATTCAATAATAAAAAAAAAAAAAAACATCGTGAAAAGTAGTGAGAATAGCTTAAAGAAAAGAATGCTAGAACCACTTCTACCCATATAATTGCTTCAATTTACTTGACCAGCATATTCTAGAAGGAATTTAACCACTTCTAACCTACAGTACGTCTTCAACTCAGCAGTATAAAAATTCAAAATATCATATTACCAACTGTTCAAATTTTATTTCATCCATTGAGGATGAAATAATTTTCTAAACTTTAATGGATTATTTCAGGGAAAAGTGATAAAATCCATGCAAAAAGAAGTTTATAATACTTACAACATGGAAATCGAGTTGTATGAAATGGTGGCAAACCAAACAGAGAACGTTGGTAGAAATTCATTCTCGAAGATTTGAAGCAGTGTGAGTAATAAACACAGTGATGCTGGAGATAATATTGGAGAATGAAAATCAAGACCCGACTTCTCGAATCAAAAAAAAATTGAAGGAATGGAAATGGTAAATGAAACGAAAGACTAATAACAATCATCCAGATGCTAATCCTTCCTCTTTTTTTTACTTTTCTCTTTGTATGGGATATTTGGGAAATAGCCCAGAGATAAAACATTTTTTTTTTTTTTTTTTTGCAAAATAAATCTAACAGGGCGGATCTTATTTCAAATGGATAATAGGTATAATATATCATGCTAAATAGTCATAACAAAGCTTCAAAGACCAATCTACCTTTTCTTCCTTCTCCTCTTCATTTAATTTGTCTTGAGAAGCTAATATCACTTAATATTCTGCTTTTTTTTTCAGTATCAGTCATTCTCATTTTTAAAAGCACATCTTTTGTGAAAATTACGATAACCTAAATTTTGAATTGAGGGCCATTTTTTTTCTTCTTCAATCATTTCCACATTCAGCTGGGAAAATTTTTTGCACTGAGAGTTGAAGGGAACAAGTAACTGATCGTACCACTTTGGTTATATGGTAAAAATGAAATTCAATTCCATTTAGTTGTACATGACAAGGATGTATTAATTAATACAGTACATATCAATGAATCCTTTAAACTACTTATCAAACGTACTTTAATGTTATTTCGAAATGAAAACAAATTCTAAAAAAAAAAAAAAATGCACGTAGTAATACAAGGCGAAATGATACAACAACACTTCCACAAAAGGTAATATTCCATAAATATTCTTCATGGATCTACGCACTTGTTTTTTACTAATACTTTGCTAATTCCGCTAATCTTTTTTTGTGTTAGTACATCTCACCGAATCTCTTACACTGTGAACTGCGCAATGTAATATGACATTTTCCACTTCAAATATTAATACATTAATTTGATACGATTAAAAATATTCTCGCAAATCTCGCAAAATTTTCAGAATCTCTTACATTATTTTACTAACTTCATCACAATATTCATGAGTGTATTACAAAAGAAGTATGAAATAATATATGAATATCATGTTTTCTATCCTCAACGATGAATATCCTTAAATAATGTAGATTAGGAAAATGAGAATTTTCTATCAGAAATTCCTAACTTTTAATTCCAAGACATATATACATATTAGCCAAGCTTATGCTGTGCAAATAAATGAAGTCTATAAATAAAGAAAAATATGAAGCAAGATAGGATTGGCTTTTCGAGCTGCTTATTTTGATGATTAACTTCCAATTATAATTTACATCACACATAAAAATTTGTAACATGCACCTGCTCCTTTCGATTTTTCTCTCATGGAATATCCCTGCCCAATCCCTGCTTGACTGATATTCCCCTTCCCCTTTGGATGTTAGCATTTCTTTTCCAGGCAACAGTGCTTAATCCTTTGCACAGTATCTTGAATCTTGATTTCATCTTCTTTTTTTTTTTTTTTCATTCCCAAACCATAATTATCAATAACAAACAGAACTTTATATTCCTGTAGCGAATATAAACATTGAGATTTCGAAAATAAAGTGACCAATTCTACTAAAGCTTTTGAAACATGTTTGGTGAGCGTACATGCACTGTTACCAAATTAGGCTTATTTAGCTGTCACTATTTATTATTACAATAACCTTCAACTTATCGGTATAAGTGTAGATCAAGTGCGAATCTTGTTAAAATCAGAAAAATTCAAAATTCAAGAAATTAAAAAATTCGCTTAGAAAAAAAAGATATTTCCACCCACGCCAATTTCGCTTTCACTTTGCGCTTCAGAAGCAAAAATTTTGTTGCTGTAGGGGCAATTCTTGAGAAATCAAAAAAAATAAGAGTTAAAAAAAAGGAAAATTTACCATTAATTGGTTGTTGAGTGAGAATGAAATGTTGCACCGCTTCACTACCATTACGGCTAATAATTAACTTCGGTGATCGTTGCAAAAATATCACTTGTGCCTTTTTCTAAATTAAAACAATAAATCGAAATAATAACAAAAATTATATAATTTTTCTTTTGTTTGAAATTTCAAATTTGCCTTGATAATTTCACTGTTTTATGTCACTCTGACAAATTATGACAATTTATTAATCAATTTTTCTCTTTGAATCCTTTTTTTTTTTCATCGCCTGTGAAGCAATATTTGTTAGAAAAACTTTGGAAAATCGAAAAAAGATTTATGTTTTTTCCTAGACTGTATGAAAGGATGTTTAGCCTAGAACAAAGAAAATATGAACAGCTACAGCTAATTTTATTTATTTTTATCTCAACCTTTTCACAAGGCAAATGAGGCAACTCGACTTTTTCACCTTCTTGTAGGATTCTATACTTGTTCAAAAGCTTCCTTCAAAAACAACGTCTATATACCTATCCTTTTTTGAGGGTATTGATTGTCAAATGCTATGAGTAATTTCTTCATCCACTATTAAACCTCTTTATGCTTTTATGAAATTTTAATTGTAGAACCTATGTCACGAATTATTTCTACACGGAAATTCATTTCATTCACTTGTTAATTTTAGTATTTGTGAAAATATGACTGCGAGACAAATAAAGAGACTAAAGATATGAACATTAAAGTAGAGCTATCATTTCTTAATCTGAATTCCATTACAAACTTTTGGTTATTAGAGCAATGCTTTTCTTTTATTACTAACTTAAATCTAAGAAATACGAATGATCTTTTCTCATTAACTAGCAAAATTTGATTTTATTACAATTTAAAAGAGTAAAGAAAGCAAGATATCTCCATCTCAAATTACCCCTACAGTTTTATTCAATATCACTTGTTTATTATGGTATCTGTTTAATATATCTGATTAAATATTTAATTGTAAAGTTTGATTGCAATTTAACTAGTGACTAAGTAGCTGTTATTATAAAGTTATCAAACTAGCTCTGAGCATTTGGTAGCATTCCGGATTCTTTAAACTAAGACATTTTCGAAAAAAAAAAAGTAAAATTTATGCAATTCTTTTCTTTTAATACTAACTGAACACTACTAAAAGCTACTTAGTAAAATTAAGTATAAGAAATAAATTACATGTTGCGATGATGCTGTCAGCTCGGTGCTGCCTGACGTCGAAGGCATAGTAGTCATCGATGCTGACACACTTTTACTTGGCATATTTGGCCACCTTGCTTCGGATTACATAACAATCTGAAAAAATGATTTAAAAAAGCAATAATAATATGACTAGAAAAACATTCATCCTATCAAAAATGAACTGAAAAAGTTAAGATCTGATCAATGAAAGAAAAATGGAGTGCAGCAGTTCACCAATTAAATTATCTTTCGTACTGTCATAACAAAGACACACAACAAGTCACATCATGCAATGCAAAAATGACCGAAAATCACTGAAGATTTTAATTAGATCAAAAGTTATAAAAATTTCTCGACACTTTTATTTGTATGTGTTTCTACATTATTTTGACATCATACTACGAATTAATGCTTATTATGCAGACATGGAAGGAATATAAAACCAATTATAAAAATACTATTATAATTTAACTTTTCATATTCTTCTCTCTTCGGAAAGAACAATAATACGTACTGAATTACATTAATGTTAAATTACGAGAAAGTTGGTAAAAAAGCAGGAAGAATTCTTCAATGATCTAAAAAATTTAAGAACTAATTAGACTCTAACTTTCGAATAGCTAGTCCACAACTGAATTTTGCCAACTACAATAAAACATGTTAAGCTATGCAAATTTCATTATGAATTACGTTTCATTCCATACAATGTGAATATTATTTTATGCCAAGAAAACTTTTCCTGATTTAGCTTTGAAATTCCTCTATCAGTTGTTGCAAGGCTTAGAAATTCTCTCTTATTTTTCATATCAATTTATTTATTTTTAAATTAATTGACTCACAAAAAAGTCTTCAGATTCGATAAATCCGAGCCTTTCAATTTCTAAGGCTTGTTTTATTCTCCGTTACCTGCAACTTTTGCACTTAATATGCAAATGATTGAATTATACAAATTTAATCAATTCAATATTTTCCAACAAAACTAATATCAAGCACAGCGAAATTTTCAAAATTAAATCGTTCAGTCATAATTAACTGGTCTTAAATATGCGGTAATAGGTTAATACATAAAAGAAATATTAGATCAAAAATTTTTTCCCTTAATCTTAACCAAATTTTCCTCCTTAAATATAATTAATTCACTATATCTTTTATTTTTCAAATTTGCTATTTTGATCCAACATATTTCTTCAACATACGTTTTTAATTTTTTCTCTATTTTTTAGATAAAATGTATAAATGCTTTTGTTGCAACCAACAGCAACAAACATTTATTTGCTAATAAATTAAATAATATATGGTCATAGAAACGGTAACGAAGGGATAAAAGCAGTGATCTCACGTATATATATATAAAACCAAGTTATTGCAATTGAAATAATCATTGTGAATTCAATATATGGAAAGAGCGCTATAATCTCTATGAATTCAATGAAAAGCTTTGGCTAGCGATCGCTGTTATTTAATGGAGTAACAAAAAGCGATACCTTGAAAAGCCTTAAATGGTCCGTTGCCTGGAGCAACCAACTGATAGCCATGTTTCACAGTACTCTTCTATCCACGACCAAGTTAAAATTGAACAGAAAAAACGAAGAAGTAAAAGTCTATTTTCATTCCTTCTTTACTTCTTTTTATTGTACTCAATTTGACAGTAGCTTGTTGTCACGGCAACAAAAAATCCCTCTACTTCGTCCTACAGAAAAGAAAAAGAGTATCTTAATTTTTTTTATAATCATTCATATCTCTTTTTCTTGAAAAATTAAAAAAAAAGTCGAAAAAATCAAAATTAACCAAAGTAATGAAATTTTCGAAAAAGCGTACTAATGATTTATTTAGAGAAGATTTGCTTATATGCATACAGGCTGACATGAATTCGACGTGAAATATGACGCAACATAAGTAACATAGGTAACAGATAATGGTGACGTTTATAACTTTTTCAAAATATTACAATAAAATGAGGAAAAAAAGAAACAAAACGAAAGAAATGAAATTTATGAACGAGAAAGAAAGCTCACCTAAAATAGCATTGTGAATCGTTGCATACAGGTATTTTTGCAATATATTAGTAAGTGTGGAAAAAATCCAATACGATCCTAAATTTCATACCTGAAACTAAAAGTATACCTGAAAATTAAAAGTAAAAATTTGATTTCGAAACGATCGCAAGCTAAAAATAAAATACATTTTCATTCCACTAGAACAGTCACTGTCCTTACGTAAATTTCCAAATACATGTTCAATGCATTCAATAATCAATTTTCAGAAAGTTTAACAGGATATCAGTCAAAAAACAATTTTATGCATGAATGCTTAGAATCTTTATTTGCAACAATTTTCCGCATGTACATTCTGGATATACATCGACCTACTATTCAGGATCCGGATATATAATACTTCTCACCATAAAATCACCAAACAACAGTAAATGGCCGTCCTATAAACTCATCAGACTTATCAGAATTAAAAAGAAATTTCTCTCCACAAAATTTCTCGCTTCCAAAAATCACAGATTATCTCTGAAAATTTTAACTCGGCCCGTTAAATTCGTCAGCGGGAGTTTGAATTTTGTTTTGTGAACATCGATTAGTTTTTATGTAAAAATCGATTATCAGATGGTTTCATTAAGAGTTTACTACATTGGTATTTTATTTTATTGAGTTTTGAGCTGGAATTTCTGCCCATCAAATTATAAAAAAGCAAACATTTCAAAATTTCAGTCAATTTTTCAAGAAACCTGGAAAATTAAAAAAAAAGACAAGAAAAAAATTCTAAAATTTATTTGTACAGATGCTGAAATCATTTAAATTTTAAAACTGAAATTTTTAGTTTTAAATTTAGAAAAGTTGAAAGTATTGTATTGTATAACTAACTTTACTTCAGCAAGTTGCAAATTGGACAGAATTTTAAAAGTGAAAGAATGTCTTCATTTTTCAGTTGAGATTTGAGATTTGCAAAACATTTATGCTCAAATAATTTGTAAAATTTTCGGATAATTCCAAAAGTTAAAAACTTTAAATTTTCAAATTCAATTCAATTTACTGGAAAAAACCATTAAATTTTAGAATTACGAAGTCTTTCATTGGTGTAATCTAAATCACAATAATAATTCTACATAAAAATTGTATTTTACTTAGGATGAAATTCGGAATATTATAAGAATGGATTGAAATTGATGAAATTTCAGTAAATAAACAATGATATTTCATTAAATGGCTTAAAATCTCAACGTATCTGTGAATCTTTCAGTTTCTATTTGTTATATTTAGTTGGTCTTATTTTAGACAATTTCTTAATTTTAAATTAACTGTAATTTAGGCAAATGATAATAATTTATTGAATGTAAACAAATACTTTTAATATAAATCTCTCAAGAACTATACAAAATTAAAATTATAAGCTGAAATTTTGAACCAATAAACAGCGCTATGATTCAGGACGTTCTGTTGCTTCAGCTATGCTGAAAAGTGAGATGGAACTTTTAAATAAGAAGCAGAAATTCAATTGTTATTCGTAGTTACTGATAGAAGTGTTCATAAATTATTTTAATTTTAGTTAACAATGAAAAAACCTGAATAAAATGCTTGAATAAACAAAGAAAATTTAAAACAAATACTGTGAATTGGGATAATATTAAAGTGAAATGTATAATAATTTATTTTATTTTTGATCAAAACGTGTTAAATTTTGAATTTTTAATGATACTTATTACAACTTTTAAATTGATTTGATGTGCAATTTATCACATAACTAGAAATAATCTTCAGTTTAAACTCTATCAGCTTTCAAATCAATAAAAGCTAAAAATGAAATTTAGAATATTTAGCTGATTTCATAAAAAGTTAAATGAAATTAACATACAGTTCAGATTTATCATCCACTAAACACTGAATTTGTCTTCGAACTCGAGCAATTTTCTCGAAATCTTTTTTATAGCAAATTGGACAATGTCTCTGTCTCAACAAACTAAAAGAATCAAATTATAATTGATATCTAATAAGTTGTTTCTTTTTTCTGCCTCATATTAAATAAATTTTTTTTGCAACAGACTTTTTTCAGCAGAAAAAATATTGGATAAAATATATTTTAAAAAAAAGAAAAAACCAATATGAATAATTTATTAAACCATAAAGATATTATTAGACATACATGTCTTTTTTCTATTTAATTTAAAATTAAACTTGCTTCTTTCTAGACTAATTTTGCTTTATTTAAATTCTGCTCAATACTCACATCATATTTTTAAGATAGCTTTAAAATTTGCAAAGAATTTGAAATTTAAGTAATTTAAAGAATTACAGTATTTTGAGCAGAAAGAAAAAAAAATAATAGAAAGTTAAAGTTGCTAACAATAGACAACAAAGTCCAATGCAGCAATAAAGTGAAGCACCGATGCAAAGAAAAAAACCAAATTTAGTGAATCGCATTTGAACCACCTAAATTTATTTTTACAACTTATCATTTTAATCCGAATGTTTATAGCATATTATTATTATTATTATTATTATTATTATTATTATTATTGTTATTATTATTATTATTATTATTATTGTTATTATTATAGCTAAGATATTTATAACTAGCTTTATTGTAGCTAAATGATAACTTGGCTAATAATGCTATCATTGTAAGATAATAAAGATGAAAAAAATGAAAAAATAAAAGAAAAAGTTTAAAAATTAAACATTCAATCGTTTTTCAGACTTAGCATATTTTATTGTTTATTTACCATTTAGATATTGATATTTTTATAAAACTTGTTGTTGTAATTACCAAAAATTTATAAAAAAAAAACCAAAAAAATTGATCACGTCCGATCGATACATGTCTGATCGATCAAGTAAATTTTAGTATTGATATAAAATTCATTGATGACTCATTAATGAATTCATTTTTACAATGAAGTAAAAATTAATTGCTGTTTCATTAATGGAGTAAAAATTAATCGATGAAATTAGCTGTTAATTTAAGCATACAATTTCTTATTGTTTATACTTAAATTTGAAAAGAGAAAAAGAAGAAATCTGAATAGTAAATACTTTTTGTCCACAACGATGGCATACTTTTGGTTCTTTTTGACGGAA